GGGCGCGGCGGAAGGAGGGGAGATCCGGAATCACCCGGATCTCTGGGGGGAGTTCATTCCAAAGGGTGGGGGCTCCCACCGAGAAGGCCCTCCCCCTGGGGGTCGCCAGCCGGCACTGTCTGGCTGACGGCACCCTGAGGAGACCCTCTCTGTGGGAGCGTATCGGCCAGTGGGAGGTAATCTGAGGCAGCAGGCGGTCCCGAAGGTAACCAGGTCCGATGCCATGGAGCGCTTTAAAGATGTTTGACATGTCTGCTATAGACTTTACGAATATACAGAAAATATGAAATATAAGTTTTCTGATGATATTTACCTTCACTAGATATTTCCTTCCAGGGATTTGGTGGATACATGAATGCTGCATTTTGGATCTGATCATTTATGTCTTCATCTTCATTAAATGGAAATGTGCCACTTAAGCTCACATAGATGATGACACCCACAGACCACATATCCAGCGATCTATTGTAGCCTTTACTTCTAAGTACTTCTGGGGCAAGATAAGCTGGAGTTCCTACTACAGACCTCCTAAAGGACTTTTCCCCAATAATGCGTGCAAAACCAAAATCACACAGCTTTACCTGTAAAACAAATGCTTTTTACTTAAGTTACTATGCACTTAGCTTACAAACCAACTATCATGGCTGATTTATGGAGTGTTTAAAAACATGAAATATGGTCAATATAATTAGCAAAAATTATAACAGTTTCTTTGCATTAGTTATGCTTGATTAAGCCTTCTATTTTTTTTTCAAATTCTATTGGAGGATGAGCACATCAGTCCAGGAAAAATATATTTTCAATACATAATGTAACTTTTTCCCAAATCAAACATAGCTAAACTAGAGAAAAAAATGTTCTAGCTATAAATAATAATTTTGTCAATCACTAAAAATATTGGAAAGTTTAAGAAAAAAGATTAAATGTTATTCTAGATTTTCTCTTCCACAACAGACAACTATACAAAGAATACTTATTTCCTTACCCACCTGAGGAAATGGTTCTGCTGATGCTAATAGTACATTTTCAGGCTTTAAATCACAGTGCACTATATTCTTGAAGTGTAAGTTCCTCAAAGCAACAAGTATCTTTTAAAAAAGGAAACAAGTATTTTCAAAATCAGTTCTATACAAAAAACCCAACAAACATTACAAGTCCAGTAGATTATTCTTCAATTCCATATTTGTCTAAAAACAAATGCATTCTTTTGTTGGAATAATTCCAGAATTCTACCATCAATTAAAAAAAAAGAATTGAGAAGATGGGTACTAAACCAGCTTCCCAAAGAGATAGCATCATTATTCAACTAGTTACATTTAGCTACTTCCAAATGTAACTAGCTAAATAACTTCTTCATAGTGGCATGACATCTCAATCTCTTACCATTCCTATTAAGTATACAATGAATACAATATTAGGATATTAATCCCCAATTAGGATTACCCATCACACACTTATTTTTCTTTGGAAGAAAAGTAACATTGTTTCACATATATTTGTCTAATACAGCCTATGTGCATTTAATATTCAGCAAATGCTGAATAAAGGAAAGACATGCTTTTTAAATCAAGAATAACATTTGCTAAGTATAAGATTGTTATTTAGGTAATGTTTTCCTCATATACACCAGAATTATTCTTATATTTACATACAGCCTTTTGAATTAAAGCCCTCTTGATTCAATTTAAAAGATAAACATTTTTAGTCTAAAGCAGGGGTAGGCAACCTTGGCTCTTTTATGACTCGTGGACTTCAACTTCCAGAATTCCTGAGCCAGCATGGCTCAGCTTGGAAACCTCTCCCTTTTCCCTCAGTATGGCTGGCTCAGGAATTCTGGGAGCTGAAGTCCATGAGTCATAAAAGAGCCAAGGTTGCCTACCCCTGCTCTAAAGCATATAAAGTGATTAAACAAGCAACACAAAATATTAAAAACAGCAATGATATGATTGTAAAGTAAAACTTGGCATCGTTTGTTTTTTTTAAACAGACAGGAGTAATCATATCTTTGAGGCCATTCAAAGAGAGTATACAGGTAGTCCTCAACTTACGACCATAATCGAGTCCAAAATTTTTGTTGCTAAGTGAGACATTTGTTAACTGAATTTTGCCCTATTTTATGACCTTTTTTCCTGCAGTCGTTAAGTGAATCGCTGCAGTTGTGAAGTTAGTAACACAGTTGTTAAGTGAATCTGGCTTCCCCATTGACTTTGTTTGTCAGAAGGTTGCAAAAGGGGATCACATGACCCCTGGACACTGTAGCAGACATAAATGTAAGTCAGTTCCCAAGCGTCTGAATTTTGTTCACATAACCCTGGGGATGCTGCAATGGTCATAAGTGTGAAAAATGGTCATAGGTCACTTTTTTCAGTGCAGTTGTAACTTCAAATGGTCACTAAATGAACTGTTGTTAAGTCGAGGACTACCTGTACACCCATCATAGTTGGGCTTTCCTCAAAGACAGGCCACAATAAGGAAGACTCTCTCACTAGGAAAGCAAATATACGACTGAAAACAAAAGACCCACCTGAGTGACCATGAATTTGGTTATTCTTTCCGGAAGCCGACTTTTCTCACTGGAAAGAATCATTTCTAACATATCGCCATGAAGTTTTTCCATCACAACAAAAACCCTTTCAGGAGTTTCAAACATACATTCCAGGTTTACAATCCCAGGGTGATGCAAATTCTAAGGAAAAGTACAGTACTGACTCAAAAACTATCAAATAAATAAACTCACTTTACTATGTCAAAAGCACTCGATAATCCTTTGTAATACTTAGGACAATGGTTCCTTTGATAAGCAGGTCAAAAGGCAATTTACCAGGAATAAAGAAATACACCCCCCAAAAAAGCCACCAAGAAATTACATCTCAACACAGATACTTATTATACACTCACAATTTCTAATTCAAAAAAACACACAGTGATGCAGTTTCACATCATTTTTGTACCTGCAAAATGGCCACTTCGTTGCGGAGCTGGCTTTCTTGTTTTGTAGGGAATCGCATTTTATCAATGACTTTAATTGCCACATCCCTTCCGGTCTTCCTATGTTTACCTGCACAAATACAAAGAGAAAAGAGAAAGCAGAAGTCTCTCAGGTAATCTTGCACAAAGAGGCAGTATCAATGATAACATGTGTTTAATGGATTTAACAGAATAACAATGTTGAAAGGGACCTTGGAGATCTTCTATAGAGTGTCCATATAATGTAAAAACTCTTCCTGAACTTTCTGCTTCAGGCAGTTATTTCCATCACAAACTGTTACATATTCAAGTTGAGAAAGATATATTTAAATTTTTCTCTTCGTCCATTAGAAGCCAAAATGTACACATTTTAGAAGATATACTGATGTACTATTTTATAAATATGGATATATATCCCATTTAACAGATGTATTTTAGCTGTTAAATGGAAAGGCACTTTATTCATTTTCAAATGTACTTTTCATGTTGGTCTATGTTTTCAAGAACTGCTTTATATACAATTCTACAGAATATTGGGATCTATGAACAAAGAAAAGCCTGTTATAATGTTATAACACCTAATGATTCTATTTAAGGAGTATACAGAATATTCACATATTCGCAATAGGCGCAGAGAATGTTAAGCAAAGTGATATCAAGTCACTTGCACTGTTACTATTTTAGAGTCCTAGACCTCATCTGGAGTTCCTTATTCAGTACTGCTGGATCTATAACAAGCTAGGGCAGGGATGTCAAACTCGCAATATCACGTGACGTGTCGCGACGTATCGTGACTTTTTTTCCATTGCTGGCAATGGGGTGGGTGCAGTTTCAGCATGACACATCCAGCCCGCGGGCCGGTAGTTTGACACCCCTGAGCTATGGTATACAAGCTATGAAAAAGCTGCCTTAAATATGTTAATGTAGATGAGAGATACTTTTTTCACTCCAGTAAAAGGCAACTATAGAAGACACTGCTAATTATATGGAAATAAAAATCATTATCAGATATATATTTCTAAGAACAAAAGTAGCACTTCTGATTAGCAGAGCTGCCAAAGAATCAGATTACTAAATTTATAAAAAAAACAAACTGTCTTACGGCAGCAGAAATGAGTTGTAATATGGAATTTGCTAAAAAGAAACCATGAAAAGATATCAGGTTAAAGAAGCTGTTTTATATCATGTCAGCCCACTGCCCAAATAGTTTGTAAAATTTATTTATTTATTTATTTATTAATTGTATTTATATCCCGCCCTTCTCCTTTCGGACTCAGGGCGGCTGACAAATGATAAAAAGCTAACATATTACACCCAGTTAAAATTTAATTAAAATGAAATATTTGAGAATGTCAAATTTAAAAGTAATTAAAACCCCTATAAAATCCCCTAGGCCAGTCCCGCTTGCTGGAACNGCGTACAGGTCGGTGGGGGGTAATCTGTGGCAGGAGGCGGTCTCGAAGGTAACCAGGTCCGGTGCCATGGAGCGCTTTAAAGATAATAACCATCACCTTGAAGCGCACCCGGAAGGCCACCGGTAGCCAATGCAGCTCGCACAGAAGCGGCGTAACGTGGGAGTGACGAGTCCCTCCCAACACCGCCCGCGCGGCCGCAATATACAGCTACCTTGTTCAACCTGTGACTCTCAGAAGTGTTAAAACTACACTTCCCAATTTTAGGAAATATTATCTTAATGATCTTAAAAGTTCCAGATTGGAAAAAAAATAGCCTAAAGTCACTGGCAGAAGTTCTCCAGCATTTTCCCATCATTTTTTTAGACAGTTGGAATTGAACCTCTATCTTTGCTATATATCACACATCATTAATCTAGCACCATTAGCATAGTTTTTCTGTAACAGTATATTTCCCTTAATAAGGAGCAAGTCTGTTTTATATATAAACCCTACAGGCAAAATATTTCACACATGCTATATTTATTCAAACTTACCTCCGTACACAATTCCAAACTGACCAGAACCAAGTACCTCATCAGCAAAGATCTGATACACTGAACTTATATCCTATGAAAAAGGATATAGACAGAAGAAAGCAAATATTAGGTTCACTCACTTGATAAAATGACACCATAGCAGAAATTGGAATGTCAACTATACGTCACAGAGCTAAAAGAGAGAAGAGCTATGATACAGGTTCTGAAGATGAATTATGTAAAAAAAACTGTTCAGACATGCAAGAACATATTGCTTTTGATATCTGAAGTTTGAACATTTGTATATTTAATCCAATTCATGAAAATTGCACTTGAGGAAATGTACCATTTACAAGATTTCTCATGATATATTTTTTGTTATTAAAAATGCATAACAGACTTAATCTTTTTTTTTAATAAACTGCACGTTAGTTTATTTAAAAAAAGAAAACAAAATTGCTCCTTTACATTTCCAACATCCTTGATTTCGATATAAAATATCCACCAAGGAGCAATTAATACTGAACGATTAGTAGGACATATTTTGTTTATATTTTGTTGACTTACCACATTTTCTTGGATCTGGCAATTTGAAACAGAAATGCTGACACATAATTCTTCTGCAATGAAAAAACATATAATCCCTCTTTTAAACAAGGTATTACTCACATGGTGTTCCATAAAGTTTCATGTTTGAATGAAGACCCTAGCAATTTCATGCAAAATTAGCAAGCCATTGCTGGGATACTATTGATAGGACAATAATTAGATCATCTGATGTGTTATGGTAATAATTGCCAATCTAATTTAAAGTATGAATGTACATATATGAAATATGGGCCTACGTTTATCTCTTGATGAGATAAATTGAAACGATGAAGAAAGAAATGCAAGCAGCATCTTTTCAGGGTAAAGCTTAGATAACAATAGTGGTAAATTGTTCCATATTGTGCAAGAGAGCCACTAAACACTTCTTCTGAAAATATAGCTTTTTATTGAATGGCTTAAGAATGTACTTTAAAAAAAACAGGGTAATAAATTGGTTGGTACTTGTGATGTAACTCAAACTACTACATATAAAACAATGCCATTTATTTTGCATACTAGGAAAGAAACCCACAATATTAAAGACAGTACTTTTCATTTAGCAGATCATCATGAAGAAAAAGGCAAGCCTTTTTCAGTCCTTACTGTGATCTCTTCCTTGTCCTGTAGCAATGCAAGTGCTGGTCTCAGGTGTGACTGGCATTAAAGCCTGACGAATAGCTTTCTCCCAGCTCTGGGCTACATCCAATCCAATTCCAGTAGCAGCCAAAACAGGGCTATGGTGACTGCTGCCATTGTTCTCTCCAACGAAGTATACCATTGTGTCAGTTATTATTTCAAAACAGTGAGGATTGCTGCCTTGCATCATATTTGAGAAATCCCGTGGCTGAGTCACCTGAAGAATTTCAGAAAGTGGAATCTCCTGCAGAAAATATAGAATGTTAAAACTCTTAACAGGGAGACCTCTTTGTAAGAATATGTGAAAAGGTAAATATTAATGCTCTCAGCTAAGAACATTTCAGTAGGTACCCTTATTCCCATTCCTTATTCATACTTCCAAGGAACCCAAAACATCTCAGCAAGGCAAACCAATTAAGTTATGTCTTGTTAAAAACCTAAATGGTATTTTTTCATTAGACTAATGTATCCAGTGAATGGCCTTTGGAATTCTCTTGTGCAGCCTGGAAAGTTTAATTACCTTTGAAGTTCCCACCATCAAATGTACCAGTTTGCTTAATGGTGAGCTACATATTGAAATTACCTTTCACTTTTGAGGTTACACTACGCTATAAGATCTTATTTTAATTCCTTAGCAAATTATTTGGTAGCATCTGATCATTACATGTTGTCCTCAACTTACAACAGTTCATTTAATGACCGTTCAAAATTACAACAGCACTGAAAAAAGTGACTTACGACTGTGGCAGCATCACCAAGGTCACGTATCAAAGTTCAAACGCTTGGCCACTGATTCATGTTTATGACAGCTGCAGTGTGTGCCAGGGTCATGTGATCACCTTTTGTGACCTTCTGACAAGCAAAGTCAATGGGGAAACCATATTCACTTAACAACCGTGTGACTGACTTAACCACTGCAGTAATTCACTTAACTGTGGCAAGAAAGATCCTAAGATTCACTTAACAATTGTTTCACTTAGCAACGTAAATGTTGGGCTTAATTGTGGTCATAAATCAAGGATTATCTGCACTGTAAAACTGTTATATTAAAAATGGAAAGAATTGCTCATCTCCTTGGTGAACAACTTCTGATGACAAACGAGACCAGAACTTCTGTTGCTAAGTGATACAATCATTAAGTGAATCATGTCTGATTTTACAACTTTTGCCACAGTTGTTAAGGGAATTACGTGGTCATTAAGTGAATCCCGCTTCCTCCTTTAATTTTGCTTGTTGTAAGCCCCCTGGGAAGGTCACAAATGGCAATCATGTGACAGATGCTGCAACTGTCGTAAATACATGCTGGTTGCCAAATGCCGAAATTCTGATCATGTGACTGTGGGGATGCTGCAACAGTCATAAGGGTGAGGACTGATCGCAAGTCATCTTTTTCAGTGCCATCGTAACTTCAAACAATCATTAAACAAATGGTCACAAGTCAAGGACTAGCTGTATGACTATGGCCTATCTGTGCGTATATGCTTATTTATACATGTTTTATAATACTGCTTTACAGGTTCCCCTTATTCACAGCTATTTATGTCACAGGTCAAAACCATCAGTTCCCTTAATAGTCATATCTTTAAACCCCCCACAACTTAACTCCTGATACAAATATTCCTTTTCCCCACAAAATACAGGTAGTCCTCGACATATGACCACAATTGAACCCAAAATTTCTCTTCTTAAGTGAGACATTTGCTAAGTGAGTTTTGCCCAATTTTACAACCTTTCTTGCCACAATTGTTAAGTGAATCGCTGCAGTTGTTAAGTTAGTAAAATGGTTGTTGAGTGAATCTTGTTTGTCGCAGGGTTGCAAAAGGTAATCACATAACCCTGTGACACCACAACCGTTAACTGTCATAAATATGAATCAGTTGCCAAGCATTTGAATTTTGATACATGACCACAGGGATTCTGCAAAGGCCGTAAGTGTGAAAAATGGTCATAAGTCACTTTTTTCAGTGCCATTGTAAGTTTGAATGGTCACTAAACAGACTGTTGCAACTTGAGGACTATCTGTATTTCACACTTCTCATTTCTTTCTATTAGATTATAACTATATAAATTATAATATGTAATGCACAATCAAAACAGAAAATAGTTCGCCAGAGATAAACATTAAAACTGCATCTTGTTATAAGTACGTCTATGACATATTAACAGTTTTAAATTGTACGTAATCTAGCAAAAAGCAATTAAAATGAAATGATAATAGGCAAATAGCATTTTAAAGAGGAGATGAGATTTGGGTAATCTCTTACCTTGTAATATTTTGTCCCAGATTCATTTTGAAATAGCGTAAGACATTTACTGTCTAATCTCCAGTAATGCCTTTTTCTCTGCAACAAAGTACAGTTACTGTTTTAAGAAACAATTTTTCATTTCATTTGTATAGCTGCCTATCTTAAAATCAAACTCTCACCAGCTAAATATGTATATGTACATTTATATATGTAGCATATAAAACACTATTTACTTGAATCAATTTCAAAGATTTCAACAGTCCCGCCTGTGTTTGGATTACATCTGCATTACAACATTCCTAAATTAAACATTCCTAAACATTCCTGAACTGCTGCAGAAAATAGTTATTAAATGACCACAGAATTTGTATTGGCTATGCCATTTTCTGGCACAAGGAGCTAAACCCAATTCATAATCCAAGGCAACAGCATTAGGTATCTGCACCATGGTCACAATGCTTTACAAAAGTCTTTATGTGATACAAGAAAGCCATTACATGCCTCAAAATTATTATTTATTTAGCATATGGCGATGTTACTTTAGCCAGGAGACTACAATGCTGATATAGAGGAGTTATTTGGCTGCCTAAGACTGCCTGTTCCATTCACACTTGCAAGATTTCCAAGATGCACCACAGGAGGTGAATTAATTTCACACCAGAAAGAAAAACTAACAGCATCCTGAAGCATCATCTAGAGCAGGGGTAGTCAACCTTGGCTCTTTTATGACTCGTGGACTTCAACTCCCAGAATTCCTGAGCCAGCTGTGCTGGCTCAGGAATTCTGGGAGTTGAAGTCCACGAGTCATAAAAGAGCCAAGGTTGACTACCCCTGATCTAGAGCCTTCTCCCTCTGCCAAAGTCACCTGGCAAACAGGCGTTGCATCCAGAAACGTTCAGCATCAGCAGGGTTCTGACCATCTGCACAAAGCACTGGCTCATCTTTCCACTGAAGTGGTACTTATTTATCTACTTGCATATAACATGCTTTCAAAGTGCTAGATGGGCAGAACCTCAGGCAATTGATGGGAGCTCACCCCACAACGCAGTGCTAGGACTCGAACCGCCAGAGCAAAAATCATCTCCAGTGTCATTAAGCCACTGAACCACTGTGCCTCAGGAGATGCTTAGATACAAAACTTTTCGGTCTCATCATATTGTCTTATTCACAGAATTTGATGGGGAGATCTAGATTAGTCTCCACCTGTAATTCTGTTTTGTTTTGTTTTTCATCTTGTCTTTCAGTTTTTATCTTTCTGCAGGAAAGCAGCTAATAGTTTCATCTCTTGAATGGAATACAAAATGTCCTGCGCTCGGAAATACAATGTTTTTCACCAAGAAGACAGCTTAATTACTTACCAGGTTGTCTCGACTTGTGTAGTGAACCATCCATCCTTCTTTTACCATTGTACTGCTCTTCCTCTTTGTGTGTTTGACCGACTGTACAACTCTCATTAATGGAATGTTATTGCTTGTGGATGGGCTGTTGAACAATAATAAATTGCACAATCATGTATCATCCCAGCGATGCAGCAGGCAGCACTGATGCCTAAATGATTTTCTTAGTCTGCTATATAGCATGTTGGGCTGGAAGCATCTCTCTGATAATTAATTGGAACTACTTCATCAGCCATTTGCTTGGAATGAGTGTACAAGCAATCTCTTTGGCTACTTTGTGCAATCTGGACAAGCTTGTCCATGACCTGAAGACCTTTTTCTATTTCCAGTTTTGGGCATCTTTGCATTATATGATCAAAACAGTTAAAATATCTTGCTAGGATAAAAATAGCTGTTATGTACCATTTTTGTTCCCAAAATGGGATATAAACTAGATTGCAAATATTTCTAGTCAAATTAAAGGATTTGCACTAAATCAAAAAATACAGTAAGTAGACAGAACTCCTGTATAAATGAAAATAATTCTCTTGCGTTCAACTTTCCTTTGCATGGTGAAACAAGCACTATAAAGGTCTATATTGTACATGAGACCCAGAGGTCACCTTCCATTTCTACATTCACAGCAGGAGAGCATTCTGTTACGTTTGTTCAAGCCAAGCCCTCCTTATACGTAGAGAGGATTTAAAACACACCGCAGATAAAAGGAACTTTTATTTTAGATGAAGAGATAGTACTTCTGCAAATGTTACAGTATAAACTTACAAACTTTGTCTTCATAATGTCATTCTGAAAAATCAGTTTTCATTATTACGACTGTATAATTTGGAATAAATTCCAAGATATTCATTTTATATGGCCATGTAATGAATTAAAAATGAGCAATTTATCCAAGTAGTTTTGTACCATGAACTACACTTGTACCTCTACCTTTTCAATAATAATTTTAGAGCATATTAGTTGCATTACAACTTGTACACACATATAAAGTACAAATAGCTTATTTTTTGATTTGCATCTGTGCTCCTTTAACCTGACTAAACAAGACATACATTCATTGTAAAAACTGATTCCTTGCTTACATTTTCTTCCAAATTAATTTACTTGCATTAGGAATGAGTTTGAACTGGAATCAGCATAATAAAACGGTCACATAAATCCAGATCACATTTTCCATGACTTACCCTGTAAAACAAATTATTTTTCATGTTGCCTCTTATATTTCCATGTTACTTCTCTTAATGAACTATTTTTAAAGCCACTACTGGTCAAAAACCATCTAAACAAAAGTATAAATTGCACAGTATATTGTCTTTAATATTAGAGTTAGAAAGATGGAAGCAGTGGATGATGTGTAAGGGTGTATTATATATGTATCCCAAGTGCAATATCTTTATTTAACCAACCTGATAGTTTTTACAGCCTCTTCATCTTTGTCTCCATCAAGATCTGCTGGATCCATAAAAAACTAAAACAGAAGACCTCCTCTACCAAGAAGGTGTAGTAGGTTAGGAGAGGGTTGTAGTGATAAGTAAAGTGACGATAGTTGGAGGTAACCGTATAGTCATAGAACCGGACCCGATCGACCAAGAAGAAGGGTTTTGTTATTTTATAAAAATTAAAGTATTAAAATGTTAAGTTATATACGTTTTATAGTATAATTCTTTAATATCACATTAATAGAATCTGAATGAAGTATCTATCCCTGTGTACTAAGTTTCTGGAAAAATCCCCAAAACTCAGCCAAGAAACAGAACAAGCAGAAACTTTGGGGCAAAACTTTGTTTTGCAACAACTACCTCATGCGTGTAGGTACTTCCAGAAACAGGGCAATTCTCCATTAGTGGAAAGTTGGCATAAGTATAGTTTCCATCACTTGTGCCAGGTGACTTTCACTCCGCTGATGCAACACCATGACCAGACCTTTCCAGGAAAGGGTGTGGACAGGATGACAATCTAAGAACAGAACTCCCTCTATACCTGGTTCAATGCCCATGCAAATTAAATCTGGTTTCCTGTAGCCTCAAACACAGCAGGTAACCCAAGGATAAGCAGTCCTCGCTTTCCACACTATGTGAATATACACACACGCATAAACAATTCTATCTTTAGAGAGCCACAGATATCAAGCTACATAAAATAAATTTGATAACAATGCTTTAATCTGCTTCAGAAAAAGGCTATCTACATGTAAACTATAATTTGGCAAATAGAGATGACATAAGACAGTATTCTATACAAATGTTTACTTTGAAATTAAGTTTGGGAAGCCAATTCTGTAATCATGCAAAGAATAGTCAATGATTAGTAAGACAAAAGAATTAGCATGTTGCCAGTCAGAATTTTATCTTTTTGGTTTTGTTGTTGTTGTTAATAGAAGAATGTTTGCTACTCAGATCTTCAGAACAATGTAGAGCATACATGTATACAGTATACGTAAAATATATTTGACATTTTATATAAGATACAGATTTAAAATGTTACATAAGACAAAAAGTAATTAGAGGTAGTCCTTGAGATATGAACATGATGGAGCCTGCCTATTAGGGATGCATGTTGCAAAGGCCTTGCTTAATGACCCCACCCCTTGCTCTCCCTGATAAAACTGTTAAACAAACCAAAGGTTGTTAAACGGAGCATAGGGTGTCTCAGAGATGGTGGAGGCCCCAGGAGGCCTACATAGACCCAAGATTGCCTGGCTGGGCCTTCCAAGGCTACTCACATCCTCTGAGGCACCCTGTGCTCTGTTTCTCACTCTTCAGGGTCCCCATAATCCTTCAGCTTCCTTCTCACCCAGCAAGCAAGGGGAGATCAGGCAGGTCAGAGTTTGCAGTCTTCAGCAATCAGCTTTCTTACAGACCCAGCCTTATGGCACCCTTGTGCTATTTTGCAACAGGCTCTGTTTTTGTGACATTGTAGAGACTCTTTTTAAAGAAGGTTCCATTTGTTTGTGGAGTTTATGGAGCTTCCTTAAAAAAGGGAATCCTGTACACCTTTATGAAAATAACACCTGCTTTGCCACAAGGCTAGGTTTGTAAGAAAGCAGATCCTGTATCAGGCTGGGCACCTCTCTCAGAAGCTGCAAAAAAACAGAAAGCTAAGTTGAGTGTTGCTGGGCTCTGGATTAATCTGAATCCTGCAAGCTTTTGGATAGGAAAGAAATTGGAAGCTTGTAAACTACGGCCAGCCTGATCTCCCCTTGCTTGCTGGAGTTTGTAAATTCCAGATGGCCTGATCTCCCCATGTTTGCTGAGTAGAGAGGCAGCTGGAAACTTGCAAGCTCCAGCTGATTCATGCCCACTAGAATTGGCCTCCCTTGGATAGACAGACTCAATGGGATGGAATGGGTGGATGGGTGAGCATTGCAGCATCCCTGTAGACAGTCATAATGGCAAAAGACCATGTGGATTCTTCAGCTGCTGTAACTTTGAAACTGGGCCACGAATAACTTTTTGGGAACGTGTCATAATAATGTTGAGCAGTTGCTAAGTGACTGGTCATAATTTGAGGACTACTTGTAGTGAGTATTCCTCTTTAGGGCAATTTAAAAGTATTCATCCTAATAACTCCTGTTAAAATTTGAGGCATTGCTGAAAGTAATATTTTGCACCCAACGCTGTTTTCCTTCCAGTAGTTCAGGTAGTCCTCGGCTTACAGCCAGTCACTTAATGACCGTTCAAACTTGAAACAGACCTCCCAAAAGTTACTCACAACCCACTTTTGAAATTATGGTCACTGTAATGTCCCTGCTAGGATGCAGGAGGTGGAGCAGCCTGCTCTCCTTCCCCAATGTGAGGTGTGGAACTCCAGATATCTATTGTACAGAAGATAAATGTGGGATCAGTGATGAGGAGCAGGATGGAGATGAAGATATGGGACCTAGTGGGATGGGAAGCCAAATCAATGCCTACAGGAAGTGGAGCATAGGGTGCTTCAGAGGATGTGGAGAAGCCTTGGAAGGCCCGGGACAGGAGCGCCTGGGCTAGCACTAGGTCTCCCAGAGCCTAACCCACACTGGGGAGATCAGGGGTAGGGGTCATTAAGTGAGGCAATCATGTGGGCGTCTCATTTAATGACATTTTGCGACCATAATGAGCAAGCTCCATTGTGGTTATAACTCAAGAACTCCCTGTATGAATAAACTTTTCACTCTGTTAGTCTAGGCAGTCTAGAGGTATTTGATAGCAATTCTGGTATATGCAGAATAGGGAGAAGTGCAAAGAAAAGCCATACATGTATACCATAACCCAAAGTTATGTTTCCAGCAATACCTTACAAGACATATCTTACCTCCATTGAAGACTACTTCTCCAAGACAATCTTTAGGTACTTTAGAGGCACAGCGTTTATGACAATTAAATCTGCAATCTAAATTAAGGATAAATTGTATTTATTTAGGCATTTATTATTTTTGTATAATCTCTTTGAAGTTTCTTTTTGAAGTCATTTTTATTTATTTTCAGGATGTATTTTTAAAGTAATAAGAAAATGCAAGTAATTATTTGGATCAAAGCTACAATTTAACCTAAAGCTGTATGATACGGTACTACCATTGCAAGGTTCTTCAATTAGGTCATTCTAATTGAATGAGAATGATGAGAGCACTCCCAAGAAGATACCTTAAAACTAAGATTCAGCACAGAAGTAGAATTATCAATATCTAAACTGCAGTTAAGAAAGTGAGTTGTGAATTCTCAGTCTACCTGTTTCCTTGTCAGCATCAGATATGGTGCTAAATATATTTTACAATGGCATTATGCATATTTAGATTTTAATTAGGATTTGAAATCATAAACTTTTTTAGTCCTTGTGGAAACACTAATATTCTTTTATGAACATTTTGACTTTAGGCAAACAGGACAGAAAGAAAAAGATAGAGGATAAATAACACTACCTTATACTGGTTTAATCTTGAATCCAATAAGTTTAAAATGTAACTTTGCACAGCCTAAAAAGTCACCAGGTAATACTAACCAATAAGGAATTTCTTGCAGGCAAGAGAAGAATAGAAGTATTCTATTCATCAACTGTATCCAGTATATTCAAACAGCAAATTTTTAATAGGAATAGAGTCTTCCATAAAATTTCTGTCATCTTATTTATATAGCTTACTGATCGCATACCATTGTAACCTGCTTATTTCATTTTATAGTTAAAAAGACTTTAAAGCCTTGATAGTTGACATGAACGTGCAGCTACAAAAACACTTGCCTTTACACTGCATTCCTTGTCGAAAAAGACCTTTAAGCAATCGCTTGCAGTACTGACATATGGTGGGTCGAGTGTAAGAATGAACAGCAAAGGTATGTGGGACTTTCACACGACAAAGAACCATTTTTTCCATCCATATTGGACGCCCACTCCACGAAGGAATCCTTTTACTAGGTTCTGGATGACAACGCTGCAAAAACAACAACAACAACTTCAAGGCGCCTTGAGCATGAATAACCCTGGACCAATCATCCTCTCTCAAGAGTTGGGTAAAGTGTCCCAACAGCACTCCTTTTGTCCTCGTCCTTCCACACAACTTATACAAATGGTGGAACTCTATAAACATATTTCCGTTTTATTTTATTTATTTTTGTTTGAGTACTTATTTCTCTTCATTAAGTCATTATAGTATGAAAAACGAGATCTAAGGTTGGTAAGGATTGAGGTTGTATAAAAGGTTTCTTCCTTCCACAGCAACAGACCAAGAAATTAGAGCAAAATCTAATCTAATATAGGTAGTCTTCAGCTTACAACCACAATTGGGACAAGAACTCTAAGTAATGTGATGATTAAGTGATCCATGCCCAATTTTATAACCATTTTGCTGCAGTCAAATTTAGTGTCTCCTATTCACTTTCCTTGTCAGAACATGGCTGGGAAGATTGCAAATGGCACTCAGGTGAACCAGGGAAGCTGTTTTATCCATCAGAAATACAAGCCAATTGCCAAGCACCCAAATTTTGATCACTAACCACAAGGATATTGTGACAATTTTAAGTGCAACTACCAATCAAAATTCAATTTTTTTCAACTTCATCATAACTTTGAACGGTTGTTAAACGATTGGTTATAAATTGAAAACTAACTGTAGAACAGTGTGTCTACTACAACACTGTTTCTACTTATGGCTGGAAAGTATGAACTGACAAAAGGAACTTTCAATATTTGTCAGCACTTGTCAGACAGCCATTTCTGCCTCTGTTAAATGCTTCCATGATTATTTTAATTGAACTTATGCCCATATTTAAGCAGTACCAACAGGCATTAGCTAATGTCCATTCCACTGCTATCAGGTAATTCTTAATTCCTTACAACTTAAAAGAAGTTACATCATTTAATCTTGATGGAGTTTCATGAAAGATTAAGAGCAAAAAAAATGTTTATTTGAACACAGCCATGGGCATCCATATCATTTTTCCAAGGAAAAACAATCATATCCCAGTTGCTGAAGCACTGATTTGTTTGAAGACAACATTAATTTTCCAAATAATTATGAATTTCAAGCTTTAATGTCTGTACATTGCAAATGATATTTTTGCATTTACAATAACTAGTTGTTTTACATACAATAAATGGAGGAAATTTCTGGATAGTAATTGGAGCACACCATTTTCGTGAAATTCAAATAATTTAATAAATGCATAAGTTGCATAAAGAAATTATAACAAGCACAAGTTTTGTTTTACTGTCAATTTTATTGTCATTAAAGCTTTGCTTTTTGATGAAGTTTTCTGAGAATTATTTAACTAAGAAGTTCTGCAGCTAGGAAAAAGTCTGAAAACTTCTGATTCAGAAGTTCTTAATGCAGTTTTGGAAATATTGTAGTGGTTTTGGTATAATTTTAATACCTATATAAATGTTTAATATCTACATTTCTGGCAAGAAGAAACTATTTCAAAAATATAATGAATATACATTTATTGTTTTTATACATCAGTTTTGATAGGCACTAAAAAGTGAAGTAAATGTCCAATAAACCAAAATATGCTGATGTACATACATATACATTCACTTAAAAGCAAAATTCTGGATTTTAAGAAAAGTTAGAAGATTATTTGAAGTGACCATTCTCAGCTAAGATTAAGTCTGAATAATACATCTTAAAGTTTCTTATGATTAAGGAGTAAGGAATTGGGATAATATGCTTTGGGTAATAACAGTGTCTTACCAAATTGATTTTAACTCTTCTTTAATTCTTCTTTGAAAAGAAAAATAAATAAATACCTCTTCTATGGACGTAGAATCAGTTTGTACAGATCTTGGGACAGAAAGTGCAGCTCCTGGTAAAGACACATTAGATAGCCGTCTCTTTCTTACCCCACTGCAGTTATTTGGAATCTTAAAAGCACATCGCTTGTGATAATTTAATCCACACCCTAATGAAATTAATACCGGGAGGGGGAGCAAAAGAGAAAATAAACATACTTTTACTGATGATGCTACACATTTTAACAATATTAGGATTCTATTTGATGAAAGACAGATTAAGCAAAATATATGGCAAAGATAACACATTTTTTAAAAACTGAACCAACACCTCTAACATTGCCATGATCATTTAATTAACAGCAGATCTCTGCAATGCATGGAATGTTTTTGGCCTGAATATTTGCTTTTCTGACCCCACTTCACCCTGGCTAAAGCTGGAAAACAGTCCCTGTTATGCAATTCACGCTGCTGCTGATTTTCCTCAGCTTTCTCCCCAACAGATTATCTGAATACTGTACTCCTGAATCTGTTGGAACCATCAGATTAGGGTACAAGCCAATGAATAGGGCTTGGGTTATTAATGCCCCTATGCACTAATACATCAAAAGAGGTGCTTCAGAATTATCAAGGGAGGTATACTCTGTATGCACAGTGAAAGGAGTGCATACAAAACACTTCTTTTCAAATAATTAAAGCAGCTGAACTTCTTTTCAAATAATTAAAGCAGCTGAACTTTTTTCAGACTTCAACAGCTGCTTCAAAAGCTGTTCCCAACTGTCCCTACTAATAATTTACCCTGCACTCATTATTAATAACTTGATAACGATTAGGAAATAGACATGTGGAAAGGGTTTTTCTTTCTAGATAAGTTATAAATATGTTGAAGTACAGAAAGAAAACAGAAAATGTTTACACTGATATATCCTCCCACACTGCATCCTCTCATTATTTCTGATATTGCACCAGCATGGCCGTTTGCATACACTAGACCTTCTGCAAGGAACTCAAAAACTTATATAGCATCATTTCTTCCCATAAACCAAAATAATTCTTCTTGCTAGATAAGAAATCCATCCTGTAGGAAAAGAACTATTAATTTATAAATTCTTAGATTATAGCATGCAAATGAAGTGCTTTTCAAAAATCTCTGTAACTACAGTATATACTGCATCTGGGGATTTAGGACAGAAACATTGTTAATAACACTCATTGTTATTAATTGGCTTACCTTCACATTTCAGTCCTTGCCGTACCAAGCCCCAAAGCATCTCTCCACAATAGTCACAAAAAGTAGGGGCCTTATAGGAATGAACGTAAAGCATGTGAGGTCGAATCTGGAAATCCTCAACTGTAGCTAATGCTTTAAAAATACATATATAAAAAAGAGTAAGCTTTAATGCCTTCCTCCATATTAAAGTACTAACAAGATTCCAATATAGTGAACATAATGCCTTAAATGCTACAAGACTATGAAACAAATATCTTGACATAAAATTTTAAAATACCATTTTCAATATAGATTTGACTATGATGTTTTATACTATTTAAAATATAATCACCCACAAACCTCAAAAGTAAAAACCTACTGATTCCATGAGATTAGGTCACTACAGTAAATAATCAGGATGAATCAATTTCCAATTTAAAAAAATGAGTTTCCATGCTTTCATCTTTAATATCCAATTTTATAAAGTATTTCATCAACTTTGCAGTAGGTGTGCATTTAAAAATGTTTATATTACAATTTATTAATTACAATTATTCCCAGCAGTGGTAGTATTTTGGTATAATCAATATGAGGATTGCACTGAAAACAGATATTCTTACCAGACAGAACAACCTCAACAAGATCACCTTCCCGTATCTCTTCTGCTGACGTAATTCGCTGTAAAATATTTTCTGAGTTCAGATCATGGCGGAATAGGAGAATTTTATCATACATGCCAAAAAACCCACACTCTGGGAACTGCAACAACAAAAAAGCAAAAATCTATATTGAAATATGCCATAATTTACTATTTTAACATAAAACTGTTAAAGGTGTTGTCTAACATAATGACAGAAAACAAGACTGTAAGCATTTGTTGTTGAAAAACAGATACATTCTGAAGTCATATTATAAGCTTCAACAAAAACTGCCTGCTAACATTACAAGTTTCTAATTGTATCATTGTGGCACTACAAAAATTACAATTTGCATATTTGTTTATTAAAAAATCAATTTAAAGATAATGGGCTTTTCCACTTGATAGATTTGAAGTGAACATATTCCAAACTTTGTTGATGTTGTATGCAATAAAACTACTAAAATATGGGCTTCCGGTTTGACATTGTGGCATAATGGGCGCAGGAAGACAGGGCTTCGTCTTCCACGTTTGATTTTGCCCCTCTGGGGACCCTAAAAAGGGTCGAAAGGCACCCCAAAAAGGGGATGAAAAAGGAGGGACCCTCATCGATCGTGATGGGGCAGCAGCCCTTCCACTGGATCTGAGGAAGCCCTCCAAGCCAGTGGAGGAAAGACTGGCTACATTTGTGTGGCCAGTCATAAGCTGCTGACAATCGAAGACAAGCACTAACTAGCAATTTCTGAGCAATGTGGATGGAACTGGGTGAGACTTTATCCTCTTTTTATGGCCCCAACATTACTTTCCTGGAAAAAAGAATGCCCAAAGCAAAGAATCCTCCCTGATGAAAGAGGGAAGGGAAGTTATTGCCCTGCTCCCTCAAGAAAAGAAAAGTGGCGAATTAATTGCTTTGGGAGAAAACAGAGGAAACTACAAGATCAATTTGGAACTAATACAAATCTATAGCTTTGAAATTTGGGGACTAAAAATATCTTTGAGACTTTAAAAAAAATATTTGAAAGTTTGCAAAATAAGCTTGGATTTGGAAAGCTGGAAGATGGTGTCAATGACATCTAGTGGAGAATTATGGCACTTCAATTTACTATGCTTAAGGGAAACTTGGCTTGAAGCCCAGACTCAGATAAGATTCTTTGTTGTTCCTGGACACTTCCACTTTTGCAGACTGCAGTTGGGAAAAGACAAAAACTCTTGGGCTGCTTATTTGGGTTGGGGACCCTATTGGACTATAAAGACTACATACAAAAACAAAATGAGTTCCATATTCAGCCTTAAATGGTAAAAAATCATCTTCAACGCCTGTCTCCAAAACTCCCAGCTTGATATATCAACAAGAAAATGTTAATGAATCTCAGAAAGAAATTCTTTCCATGTTGAAATCAATCCAAGAGATAATTGTTTTATTTCAGGATGAGACTAAAAATAACGCAAATGAGATAAAAGAACAATTTTCTAACCTAAATTTACAAATCCAGACAATGACTGTAAAAAAGGAACTAATAACCCAGAAAACAGAAGGAAAATTAGAAGAAACGGATCCAAAGATGGAGGACCTAAAGGAAGGAATCAGATACTGACAAATGAAAAATTAGAAGATACAGTGATAACACCGGAAATGGAAAAGACATCGCACTTGTCAAGATCTCAGAACATATTTGAGGATAAAGCAGAAGAGCTGATCAAATGGATGATAAAGTTGTTAGGAGAAATGCTGAATATTGACAAACAAGAAATGAAAAGAAAAACTGAAGGAGAAGGATGGAGGCTGTTTAATGAATATAAATGGGTTGAGTGTTCTTCCAAAAACACTTCAACCAAATTCTTTTCCTCATTCTAAATAATATATACAAAAACAGAACTACTTGATGATTTAAATGTACTGACTTGGAAAGTTATTTGGCAAAGGAAGAAAGCTACAGTAAAACTGAAGAAAATTGAGGTTCTGATCTATTAGATGGGACATTATACTACTAAACAGATGTTTGAATATGGCTAAGAAAATAGATAACTGTTAGAAATAAAAGTATTATTATAATTAGAAGGATAGGATTTATAACTAGCATATTATACTTTGTTATGAGATGGGAAATATGAAAATTCTAAAAGTGTTTGAATAAGGGAAGCTTTTGGTTACCCAAATATAATTTATTATGAGAAAATTATAAGGAATAGAGATATTTTTAACACTGATGGGAAATTAAAATTTTTAAAAAGCAGGAAAAACAGGATTTTGATTGAATAAATGGATTCTAAGTGCAAATGCAATTGAGATATATTTTGGCTAGAAAAAGATATTATAAATTGATATTATCAATATTATGTATAATACCAGAAAAATGTGATGAAGATGTTTATATTTAATTGTATATGTATTAACAGTAACAAGAATTGTATTTGCCCAGTATGGAAAAATGCATACTACTGGAAGAGAGGACCAAGGAAGCACTGGATGGTATAGTATCGGACTAGACTGAGAAAGTTACTAATAGACCCAGACAACACGTTGCTTATTAAGTACATATGACTGTAAAATTAGAAAGTTAATAAAATATTTATTTTAAAAAAATTACTAAAATATACACATTCCACTTCAATAAGACCAATTAATCTTGGCACATGCATACAGTTTATTGTTAAACAAAAGAAATAAAGACCTAAACAAAAATATTGTATTGATGTTATCACAATTAAATCTAATATATACATACTCAATTAAACAAACATTAAGTACAGTTTAATCTCTTGTGAACTAGCCCATTCTAACATTTATTTCTGTATTTATATTGAGAATCAAGGACTAATCCTTCCTGGATTATAGAAGAAACACATCCTGAGAGTTGTCTGCACTTTCTTGTAAATGAGATTTGCTAAACTACAGGTTATTTTTGTTTCATTTCTTCCAGTTTTTTAGGTGGATATAATGAATGTTTTATACCTTACCATAAGTAACTAAAAATGGAAAACTAAATATTCAAATGCTGGACAAAAAATACTGGATGGTGTATGATCTGTTGTGATAAATGAATGTTCTGAAAAATGAAAATGGTTATGCATGCTTCTACCTAGTTATAGAGAATTGAGAGATATTGAAAAGGAAAGTTAAAAGCAGTAGGAATTGAATAATAATTGTGTGAGATTAAAAAAAGAAACGGTTAAAAAGTGAATCAGTGAATCAGTGCTCAATAAATGTAGACTGAATACAATAGCATCTGATCAAGTAAATGTTGTAAGCCAGGTGTTGATGGCTTTGATGGTGTTTCCACCATTCAATTTTATTTTTAGCAATCGTCTCACTCTTTGAATATATTCTTTACTAAACATATTTTAACTTGTGCATGATTGATGTAAAAGACCAATATACTTGTAGGCTTCATCCTAATGATTTAGTCATTTAGTATTTCAATTCCATTACTGTTTGTGATTCTTACCCCACTTTATTGCTACTGCAGCACATTTCTCTAGCCCAAATTCTATTGCTATATTTGTGCTTGAAATTCTTAGTGTTTCTCAATGACTGGATTTCAATTTCTGATCTTCAGATCATCCATATAAAGCAAATGTGAAATGTTATTGGAATTTTTTTCTGTTTGACAGACAAGATGTATTTTCTTCAAAATCACTGAAAATGAGATCATGGCAATGACAAAAAGTCAATGAAACTGATCCACATGTGTAGAGTTCAAACCTTGCCTTATGTTTACATAATGACTTCAGGCTAATTCCCCACTTGAGACCTCCTCCCAACTAGGATGGTTGATCTTCCATACCCTGCAAGATGCCTCTCCTAATGTTGACAAGCCCATATTTTTTATTTTCAACCACCAATTCTGTCTTCCTCTGCTCCATTATTTTTTCTATATACCTTCTAACATTTATACACATTCTAATGTCTATTTCTAATGACACCAGTTGTTTCCAAACATTTGATGTTCCAACTATGTGATAATGAATTAAAGGCCCTTTTATAATCAATCCAGACCAAATGTAAATTAACTTGTTGGCTTTTACAATTTTTCAAAACCATTTTATCAATCAGAAGTTGATCTTTTGTATCTCTACTTTTCCTATTTTTCCATTCTATTCTACTGGAAAGATGTTATTTTCTTCTAAATAATCTTGGATGTTCCAAAGGTGCTTTTTCCAAAAGGCAATTGGACTTTCTTATTTTTTTCCCTTGAGAACGGTTCACTTCTCATCCAAGAAGCTTCTCAGTTCTTGGATTAGAAGCGAAACTTTTCCAATCAAAAAAACAAGAAAGTCCAGATGCCTTTTGGAAAAAGCACCTTTGGTACAACCATGTCCTGGATGATTGAGAATCTCCACAGACTATCTTGGATGTTGTCCTCTATTATGTCTATGAGTAATTTAAACATTGTAGGAAAACTTATTGGTCTATGATTTCCGGGTGTTGTCCCTTTTGCTGAGTATTTTTGAATTAGAGATGTTTTGCCAGTTAATAACCAGTTGCTCATGACTCCTTTATGCAATACTTCATTAATCTGTATAGCTATAACTGGATGTAAGCTAGTCAGATATTTGAGCCAAAAGCCACGCAATTGATCATTTCCAGGAGATGTTCAGTTTTTAATCCTTTTTATTAAATTTTAACCTATTTCTGTTGTTTATAAGGTCTTCCAACTGACTGCCAAAGCTTCTTTCATTTTTGTGGTGCTAAATCAATATTTGTTTATAGACTTGTCTTGATTTCTTATATTCTTCAATATTTCCTCTTTCATGTTTTTTTTAATTATTTACATCTGATCTTAATTTCTTTACCTTGGCCTCCAGTCTGATCTTCCATTTTGGAATTAAATATGATTTTACTTTTGGCTTTCTAATTTCAGTACCCAATTCTTCTATAACCACCACTGTTGTCCTTTAGGCAAGCTGACTGGCGTGTTTGACAGATGTAATTTTAATCCTTGCAAGTACCTTATTTACATCCTTCATTATAGGTACCAGATCTTCTGGGAGAACTACTTTCAAGAAATTATCAATACTTTCTACTGATAATTCTGCATATGCCATAATCTTCTCTTCTAATTCTTCAGGGGATCAGTTCATAGGTTGTTTCAGTGCAGGCGTATACTGATTCTGTTGCTAT